AGAGAAGATAAACGCATCCCATCAAGGGAAGGCACCTCGTAAAGAGGAGATGGCATCTCATAAAGAGAAGGTAAACAGCATCCCATTAAGGGAGGGTAGCATCTCATAAAGAGAAGATAAACAGCATCCCATCAAGGCATCTCGTAAAGAGGAGCATTTCCACTAATAAAAGGAAATGGTATGCTTACCTGAATTCATTCTAAGTTAGAAAGCTATAATAATCCACTTATATCTTATAACCGAATTGAATCTGATTTAGTAAAAAGACCAAGAATTCGTGAAACTAAAAGGTGTCACTGCTGTAGGAGAAAAAAAGATTGAAGAAATGTTTTATGTACAGCATATGATATTTAACGCGACTTTTAACGTGACTTTTATGTGTAACATTACATCATGCTCTGAAGTAGGAAAGGTTCGACATCATTGTCGTCGCCTGTAGAAAAAAACAAAACATGATACCCCGAATGTGTTCTTACGCCATCCGAACGATAAACTTTTTATTGCGTCATGTGATTTTGTATGATAAATTTTTTCAAACTATCGTCGTTATATTTATCGGACGTATGATCGTCGTATAGACATGCCGGAAAATTAAATCATATACTTACACGATGTTAGTACACCCGAAATAGGTTATGTAAAAGATTATCCCAGATATAGAATAATGCATTATCAACTGCCTCATCTTGATTGGACGAACGATGTATATGTACCCACGCTTCTTTTTTATCGCGAAAGTTAATACTATTCTTCTTGAGTAGGACATCGGCTCTAGAATTTCTATTTCTAACGGCTCGTCGAGTAGTGTTGCTTTTAATTTCTCCGCTTATTAGATAATACACCGTTTTTCGTCTAATATTAGTAATGTCGCAAGAGAAACCAGTTAAGTTATCGCGTCACGCCCGTTATAATAAAAAACGTAGGCTTGAAAAAGAAAAAAAATCGACCTTACCAGCAGATAACATTAAGCCCACTCTAACAACGACAAACATTATCTTCAACCCGAACAAAGTATATAATTTCGATTTTTTATTTAAGTGAACGTAATTAAGCGGTTATTTTACGTGATAGAGCAACTACGTAAGTTTCTTGTTACGAGTATACTTAGTTGGTAATCCATCTTCGTATTTGTGTTGTAGAAATCGCATAATCACTATAATAGTGGCTTAATACTTGAACGAGGGTGGTTGCTCAGTCCATAAAAAGAGCTTATTGACCTGTTCGCATAAAATCCAATTCGAATGTACTATGAAACATTTCTTCGCATAATACAATTTTATATATTAGCATAGGACACAATTTGCGACTCGAGGGTTACGTACAAGTGATAAAATCTATTACATTGAAAAAGAATGGAAAAGCACTCCACTTTGTTCGTCGGATTGTGTGGCATCGAAAGGAGCTAAAGTTCGAGAAGAGGTTTCTACGAGAGGATTACTGATTGAAACCTTAATTCGAGAGGCAACCCTTACCAAGGATAATGAAATACCTTATATCCCGCCTAAATTTCTTAAACTGCTCGATAGAGAGATAATCAAGATAGATCGCGATAACGAAGAAGAATCTCAAGTCAATACTTTGAATAACGGATTGTGGGTTGCTTTCGGTCATTGGTTAGGTGTCGAAGAGCCAGTTACAAGAAGAGGTATACGTCGGCATCTACGATCAAAATGGATGAAACTTAAACACGTCGTGCGTGAGGAAGACGAGTACCAAAATAATAAACCACGGAATGATCCGAGTATAACCACGACGCATATTTCCCGGAAGGAGAAGGTCCAATTAATAATATCCGCACGGGGTAATACTCATTCTCTAAAAGGATTGGTGAGGTTTCGATATATTGAAAGACCAAGATGCGTTACCGACGTCGAGGGTAGAACCTTAATTCACCTGGGAGTATTAAATAATTCGAATGCCGTATCAAAAGCTACCGAAGCTGTAAACCACTATTATTTTCACACTTTAAATAACCCTTCCCACCGTAGTGAGGAATTTTGGACCAATTTCATCGAACATTTCGGTGTGTATGCGCGAAATAACCTCTTACCTTACACAAGTTCCAACACCGCAAGTGCCCACAACGACGAGCATCAAGAATGTGTCGATACGTTACTTCGTGATTTAGAACCGTTGTCAACTTCTATTAATGAATTTGTCCGAGAATATTATGGGGAGTTATATGGGAAGTTAGAAAAGTTATCGTGGGGGGTATTTGGGCCAAAGCCATTCGGAGTCTTCCCGATGATCGCGATTAATTTCAACACAATAAGCGATTATCACTGGGACGAACACGACGAACCAAATTCTTTGTGTTGTCTGGTAGCATTGGGTGATTTTGAGGGGGGTGAACTATGCTTCCCGCAACTTCAATTATCGTTCCACTTCGTCCAGGACAAGTCGTGGCATTTTCTTCCCGTCTTCTACTCCATGGAAATTTTCCCGTAACTCGAGGGATCCGGCACAGTATCGTTTATTTCGTTCATAGTATGTTCTTCCACCACCTGCGCAATTTTACCGAGATTTACAAAGATCGAAAGGATGGAATTGAGCGAGATGTGAATGGATTGGTTGTTCCTATAATCCCTCAACAAGACCTAAACGATGCTCATGGATTAAATCGCCAGGTTAGACTCGACAAACCGAAAGCCAATCAGATTCGAGTTCCACTGTCATCCACCGATTGTAGGAGAGGACATATCGGTAGGTATTTCACTACGCGATGTTGACTTTATACCTGAGATAAAAACGATATTAATAAAATTGATCATTTTTTTCTTTAGACTTGAGACGAGCACGATGGGGTTTAAAGGCCGAGGATCCTCTTCCAGATGGGTTGTAGTAATATAACAATAAATATACCAACGATCCTCATGGTTAAATAAAGATTTTCGTGTAAATATATCAATCGCTAGATTTTTTTAGCGAAGCTTGTATATAGTGCTAATGTAAATATATCAATAAATACGAGATCATAGTACGATCACGGGCTACATCATGCTTTATTAAAATTTTCTTGGCGATGAAAAGTTCGCCAAAAATCACGTGTTTATTTTATTTGAATGCTTGTTTATTGTGTATAAAAAGTGCTTTCATGGAATCCGAGATTAACTTTCTTAGACAGGAGAACGCCAGACTTATAGCTAAGATTACTGGGCTTGAGGGTCGAAAATGCTGATGTTAAGACCAAGTACGATGATGCTATAAATGAAATTACGAAGCTAAAGGCTGAGCTCAAGAGTAGAATCGAGGAGCTAGAGAAGGGTAGGACGGATACTGTTGCTGAAAATGCCAGGCATGATGATACAATTTCTGAGCTTAAGGCCGAAGTAATAAAACTAAGGGACGACAATGGGGAGAGCAAACAGCAAACCCAAGATATTTCTCCCAGGAAGTTGTTAATATACCTAGCTCTGTTGTGGACCAGCTTAATAATGTTTCTGAAGTTTCATCCAAATCTAAAATCCAGTTTTCTTACACGAGTAAGCAGAAGACATTGGAGGATAAAGAGACAGATACTTTCTTGAATGAGGTGCATAAGAAAAGGGTTAGTAATGAGATTAGACAGAGGAATAGGGAGGAAAAACTTCAGTATGAATCACCTAGCCAGGAGGCACGCTCGATTTCCCAGAATACTGCATCTACTATATCTACTACTTTCCATGAGTGGAAGAACGAACAGGGCTTGATTCGAGAAATGATTTCATCCAAGGAAGAAAAGCATGAGACTTCAATAACTCCATCTATTCTATCCATGTCCCAGATAATGGAGATATTATTAGTCTATATAAAAATGCATGTGATGCGGAAATAGACGCAATCAAAGCCAATAGAGAAGAAACATTACGTTGGTGTTTCTATACTAGAGAATTCAAAAGCATGTATAAAGATTTTATGGTCAACAATAAAGTTGGAGAAAAGAAGGCAAAAGGTCAGGTATATGATTTTATTATCAAACAGCTACCTGACAAACTTTATGTAAGCAGACACAGAAAGCTTTAAGCATTGAAATTTATTCAAAAAAATAGGAATGGACAAGATCCAATATATCAAAACATATAGTGCGGATACTATTTCAAAATTTACTAATTCTCAGATTCAAACGATTATAGATCACTTCACCAAAAAGCTATAGAATTTATCGATGAAGAGGATAATTCTCCAGATAATTTATCCGAAACAGAGATAAGTATATCTACTGAATCGATTCTTTTAGACCCAAAGGGACATTGCTCTGCAATAGATTCATTCCAAGAAGATGGATCAAAGGCTCGAAACTCTGCTTCCTCGAAATTACCAGAAGCTGAAGTAAGTATACCTACATCTAGCCACCTTGTGACTGCCTCTGACAATAAATCTCGACCTCCTATTTCTATTTTACCCGATGATCCAAAAGAGAAACAAAAAACATGTTATCAAAAATGGCATTGGAACGGTTCCCTGTTTTATCTTTGAAATATAGTAATGAATCTGGCGATTACTTTACTTATTTAGAGATATGCCCCATATGTAATAAAGATCATATAAAAGTAAATATAGGATTTAATGTAGAAGGTATATGGGATAGTGAGGATTATACAAAAACCTATCGTCTCAAATGCTGGAAAGCTTATCCAAATAGTAACTGTAAAGGCATAAGATGTGCCTTGGCACTGGCTTCGCTATTGAACCAATCATTTTCCGCGATCACATGGGTTGCTCTCTCGGGGCACATTATAACGTGACATGACCTACTTCCAGAAATTATATTTTTACTATATTTACTTTTTTTACTTTACGCTTTCGAATAGGGCGTTTCTTTACCGCATGTATAACCTCTATTCCCGAACTGGAAAAAGCGCTTGAGTCTGAAGTATCTGAATTGTAAGAAGTATCCGAATCTATGGAATACTTGACCCTATTTTTCTTGCTAGCTCCGCTATTTTTGGAAACATCATCATTTAATCTTCTGGACATTAGAGGTATATAAGGTTTGTTGCGAATCTTTCGGTGCATATTATCTTTGCTTCTAAAAGATAATTTCTTGAACATATCCACAAGTTCCTCCAAAGTTAGATCAGATTTTGACCCCATCGAATTAGATGAGTTATTCTTACTAGAGCTGGCTTTGTTAAAATCTTCATCGATTAATGGGATGCTCATACCATCTATTATAATTTTAGGAAAAAATCCAAAGCTTATTTTTACTTCACGTATCCATAACCAATCTTGTCCTAATACTAGATCGAATGATGGATTTTTGTGAATTTGAAAGTCTATTACTTCAGTACAATCTAAGCTTCGCCACTTTCCTTTGTAGCAAAATTGCAATTCTAAACATTTTATTTCACCTATTACATTTCCATAGAGATTCTCAACAGGATCACGTATTCCATAATCTTCTTCAAGGTACCTCTTCTACGGTAATTTCATTTTCTGCTGCTAGTATTTCTAATTTCTTTACCATTTCCGTGGCTGTCATGCGGTTTGTTTTGTCCACGTCACCTGCCAAAAAAATCCTTCAAGATAACATCTAACTTTTTGTGTTATACGCTTACCTATACCGCGTTTTCCCAGTTTTTGATTGCTTTTTAAAGCCCATCCTGACAGCAAAGGGAATGTTGTATCAACCGGGCCACCAGTCAAAAATTCTCTGTTTTCTGAAAGTATGGCAACATTAGTAAAGACTTTGAGCAATTGGTAACTGCTAAATAAACCAGTCAAAATTTTAGATTTACGAAAATTATGTGCATTTCATCATAATACCTTTTTCGTGTGCGATTGGAATTGTGGCTTATGGATAGATTTTTCTATTAGTTTCATAATTTCTGACGATGTCCACTCTCCAATATTAGGAAGCATTCTGGCTTTTATAAATCCCGCTTCTATTGGTCATTGCCAATAGAAGTAATTCGTAATTTCTTTCATCATTTTAACTGGCACGTGATCTCTCTTTGGTTCAAGATGTATAATCTATTTTGGGTGTGGAATCTATTTCGGGTATATTACGATATGATGACCAAATTTCCGATTGTGCGTAACACATGTTTAATCAACATAACACATGATATAAAACCGCTTTCTCTATAGAGAAAGACGATCACCCGGAAAAATTTCTGCCGAAAAGTAATGTGATACACGCATTGTGCAACCGAATACATTTCTCACATAGCCATGCCGGTAGAATTTATCGTTTTTTCGCGTATCATTCCGCAGTCTACCAATAAAATTCTACTAAAAAACGTATATAACTCGAAATGTCTTTCTGTCTATTGAAAGGAAACACCCCAGCTGTCAAGCACGTTTTCCGAAGTCGTTATAGTCCGTTAGTGCATTCAAGGAAGTTATTAAGGCGAAGAAACCTTTAACTTTCCGCGATGTAGAGGCTGACGAAATAAAACTGTGGAAGGTGGAAATTCCTGACGATCGCGATTCCGAGTTAGCCAGCCCTGCGTTAGATGTCGAACTTCTGGCAACGAAAAAGATTTCGAAATACTTTCCTGCAACGCCAGCCGAAGAATGTATTCTTGTCATAGTCGAGCCACCGGTGCAAATCGCCAGTTCGAGCCGTGAACAGGAATTGCTCGACCGAATCGCGTCATTGGAGGCATCGATTAACAAGTCTGTCCATGGTGCGTATATGTATAAAATTTCTTGGCAAAAACCGTTCCCTCAGACTATATCCTGAAAAAAATTTTTTACTAATCAGCTGTTGTGTTGCAGAATTCGATGTCATCGTAAGCCCGAAGCGGGTGAAATCATTCAAATGGACAGTGAATATTGAGCATGCGACCCTCGAAGCTCTCAAAATTCCATACGTGCAGTATACCAAACGCCAGCACTTGAAAATGATGGCGCGGTGTTCAACATGGTATGCGACAGTGGAAGTACTCACCTCGAAATGACCAAGAATTTTGCGAAATGCTCCGGTTACTGGTATCAAAGAACAGTTTCAAGTTTACCGTATTCATAGAGACCCCCTTGAAGGCTTTCAACAACTGGACATTCCCGAAAGTTTGCCAACTCTACAATCTGAGCGAAGATCTGAATCCAGATATGTCCGTATCCCGACTTTTTCCTGTGGTTGCTCTGATACGAAAAACGAAAAGTTCAGAACCGCCCTGGATAAATTAATGGTAGAACTAAAAACTCGTCTCCCATCAACCTCTCATACGAAGCAACAAAAACGATATATACCTACTCGTACCTGGCATCTGCCGTCTTGCTCTTCGAAACGTTGATAAGGATCCGGCTGAAAAACTCATTGAAGGTATGCGGAATTATATTGCTCCCGTTCGTGAACGATATAATTCTTATTACACTATTCCATCCTCACTAGGAAAAAACGGGCAAGGTAAAACCGATTATGGGATGGAGTCTTGTGCGACAGGGCGGATTATTGGCGTTGTAGAAGTCAAGAGGGAAGACTTTTTGCAAGGCATTGTGCAGGCGAGCGTACAAATGGAGTCATCATTGGCGAGTACACAAGTATGCATAGCAATTCGCAGTTTTTGTAAGGTTTGATCCAGGGTTAAAGGGAGCCACAATCCCCGCCTATACTCATATCTCTCACGTAAATTCGATTCCGATTCACGTGAATAGACGAGTCGTAAACGTAAGGTTGAAGAAATGGAGGCAGAACAAGCTGTTGGTTCCGTTTTCGCAATTGTGACGGACGCAAAGGAATTCTACTTCCTTGAATGCACACTGGACGATCAAGAGAAACCATCGTTCAAGTTGTCAAAACCGGTCGTTGTTGTATACGAGGATGATGATATGAAAGTCAAGGTAGAGAAAGTGCTTTCTCATATTGTATGGTTACTAGAAGAGGTCCAAAAAGCGGACGAATTGGAAGATGGAAATAAGAGAGTTAAGGTGGATTAAGCTTAGCAAAAATGGTTGTGGCTTGATTTTGTAATTACTGGCCCATTTATTATTAATAAATCACTGTGCGTTAGTGTAGATCCGGAAATGTCAATCGTGTTCCATTACCAGTATATTGATTGATCATCTCCCGTATTCAAAAAAGCAACTAATGGGCGAGCTACATCCCGACCCTTAATTCATTTAATACGGGTTGTGTAATATAGCTAATTCATCTATTCAAACATTCCCCCAACAGAGTCTTGTTTTGCGTTTGAATTCATAATGAAGCGACGAATTAGTTACTTAGGATTTCAGCACAGATGTACCGAGTCATAATTGCCAATGTTACATGTCATATTCTGTAGTCTGGAGCTGAAGCCTATAAAAAACACTATGTCGCGGGTCATATCTATAGGTTCATCCTTTAATAAATAAGTGTAAAATCACTCACAAATCTCTCTATAAACACTTCGATACTATTCTATCAACGCAAAATCGCGAAAAAACCCAGCATTACATTCAAAATGTTCTCATTCAAAGATATCTTACTGCTCGTCGGAATTATGTTCTTCCAGTCGATAATTCTCTACTTCATGACCAGAAACAATTCGCAAGAAGCCCAAAATCAAATTAATACAAAGATGACCTCCACCCTCAAAAAGCAACAAAAAAGTATCTCTGATCTATCCGAAACCGTAAGACATCTTGGTTATGACATTCGTGAGGTCCGAGATGGCGTCGCAAGAGGGAGTAATGCCGGATCTGGCACGTCTAAAATGTCTCAAAATTATACTGGTAACATTTCCTCCCAGAGTTCGGAAATCGATGAATTGTTCAAGGAGAAGAAAAACGGCGAA